GATAGTGAGATTGGCCCAGGATCGGGCAGTGTTTCATTCAGCTGTGCATAAGGTCGCTATGGGTCAGTACCGACTCGATGGCACCTAACAACAACAGTCCTTCATACTCAGATTTATTTTTAGACTCGCTGCCCTTTTGTGTATTATATTATCCTTGGTTTAGTTTATGGGTTTCATAACCTCATCTACGTGATGGCTTCAAAAAGTTCATGGAAAAATTCCATTATCTTTTCATTCTATTTTTCTATTAACTTTTTGCAGTTTTTCATATGTTGTAGTGACTCTCAAATCTACTTTTCCCACGCTGGAAACTTCTGCCCTCTAGTCATCAGATTTGAAGATCAGAGTGCCTGCGTGATTCTTAGAGTTGTTGGTAGGTGTCATCAAGTTGGCTGCAGCTCATAGCGCAGTAAAGTAAGAGAAACCCTGACTTGACTGGTCCTCCGCCAGCCTCACAGTCTTTGTTAAGCTGGAGCCCATTGCTGCTGCCACTGTGCCACTCCATGTCCTTGGGGCTCTTCCTCTGGTTCATTGACCCTCCACTTTGGCAAGCATGATGTTCTTCTCCAGAGACTGGTCCCTTCTGATAATATACCTGAAGTATGAGAGACAAAGTCTTGCCATCCTGGTTTCTAAGGACCATTCTGGCTTTATTTCTTCTAACACAGATTTGTTTGTTATTATGACAGTTCATGGTACTTTGAATATTCTTATTTCACACCATAGCTCAAATGTATCTATTCTACTACAGTCTTCTTTATTCCTTGTCCAACTTTCACATGTATATAAAGTTAATGAAAATACTGTGGCTTGGGTCAGGCACACCTTAGTCCTCAAACTGATATCTTTGCTCTTGAACATGTTTTGTGCAACAGATTTGCAGTACTCTTTTGATTTTTTTTTTTTTTTTTTTTTTTGATGCTGCTTCCATGAGTGGTGATAGTAGATCCAAGCAAAATGAATTCTTTGACTACTTTATTCTTTTATCCATTTATCATGATGCTTATAATTGATCCAGTGGTGAAGATATTTGTTTTCTTTATAATTCAGTTATGAGCCATACTGAAGGTTGTGTGTGGTCTTTGATCTTTATCAATAAGTATTTTAAGTCCTCTGTGCTTTCAGTAAGCAAAATTGTATCATCTGTATTTCGCAGGTTGTTAATGAGTCTTCCTCCAATCCTGATGCCATCTTCTACTTCATATAATTCAGCTGCTCAGATTATGTGCTCAGCATATAGATTGAATAAGTTTAGTGAAAGAATGCAACCCTGGCACAAACCTTTTCTAATTTTAAACCATTCAGTGTTTCCTTGTTCTGATCAAACGACTGTCCCTTGGTCCGGGTACAGGTTCCTCATGAGCATAATTAAGCGTTCTGGACTATGCATTCTCTGCAATGTTGTCCATACCTTGTCATGATCCTCAACTTCAGAATCCTTTCCATAGTCCATTCTGGCAATCTCTACTTTCAGCCAAGATCCATCTGAGGTCAGCAATGATATCCCTCGTTCCACGTCCTCTTCTGAATCTGACTGAAACCACTGGCAGTTCCTTGTCAATGTACTCTTGCAACCGTTTTTAAATTACTTGTAGCAAAACTTTACTTGCATGTGCTATCAATGATATTATGTGATTTTTGCATTCTACTGGGTCACCTCTCTTGGTAGTGGGCTCAAGTATGGATCTCTGCCAATCACTTGCCCAGATTCTTGGTATAGATGAGTAAGTGCCTCCATGCTGCATCAGTTTGTTGAGAGATTTCAGTAGGTATTTCATCAATTCCTGGAGCCTTGTTCTTTGCAAATGCCTTCAGTGCCCCTTAGCCTGCTTCCTTCCCTGTTGGCTCCTGATCATATTTTATCTCATGAAGTGGTTGAGTATCAGCTGTAGGTGTCTGATATTGTGTATTCTCTTTTGACGCTTTCTGCATCATTCAGTATTTTGCTCATTGCTCTTGCCTTTGAGTAATTTTCAACTCAGAGTAACCTCATATAGGGTTTCCAAGGAGCGCTGGTGAGTTTGAACTGCTGACCTTGTGGTTCAAACCAACCTTGCAGCCCAGTGCCCATAGAATCCTTCAGTATTTCAAGTTGAGGCTTGAGGTTTTTTCTTCAGTTCTTTCAGCTTGAGAATTGCTGAGCATGTTTTTCCCTTTTGGTTTTCTAGCTCCAGGTCTTTGCAAATATTATTATAATACTTTGCTCGATCTGCCCTTTGAGATTTTTGGTTCAGCTTTTTTACTTCCTCATTTCTCCATTTGCTTTAGCATCTCTACCTGGACAGTAAGTTTCAGAGTCTCTTCTGACTGACATCCATTTTGGTCTTTTCCTTCTTTCTTGTCTTCTTAATAACCTTTTGCTTTCTTCTTGTATGGTATTCTTTGTTTTTAAGTTCTTATTGTGAATTGAGTGAGTGAAGGTTTATAGGGCAGATCATCAGTGTTAACATTCATCAAGTCATTGCAATGATTAAAATCCCCTCCATGCACCCTTAGCCAACAGTATTTACCTCTATTATTATTTTTCTTTTTGATGTACACATACCACATTGAAAATATATATTCTTTTAAATGTCTAAAAAGCACATTTTGCAAGTCAGCCTCCTACTTGCAGGCATACTGCCTTTCTCAGTCCTTGGTCTTGTAGTTCTCTGCTGCTCTGTCTCACCATGCCATTGCCTCTGCTACCATCTTTATTGTCACTACTTTTCTAGTTAGGATCGCTGTATGATATTCTTGATGTCATCTCACAACTCTTCTGTTCTTCGATCATTACTGTCTAATGCATCAGATGTGTTCTTGAGATGATCTCTAAATTCAGGTTGGGATATATAGTCAAAGTTAGATTTTGACTTTCATGGACTTGTTTGAATTTTCTTCAACTTTACCTTGAACTTACATATGAACAACTGATGGTCTGTTCCATAGTCTGCCTCCTCCTGATGATAGGAGCTCTTCTACTGTCTCTTCCCACAGATGTAGTCAGTTTGATTTCTGTGTATTCCATCTGGTGAGGTTTATGTGTAGAGTTTTCTCTTATGTTATTTTTAAATGGTATTTGCATCTAGTTAGTCCATCATTAATGCCACCTAGTTCTTGAATCTGATCCCTCTTCTCTGTCTCCATGACTGCTTCAATAGTCTCTCACCTATTATTTCCCACTTTCTTTCCTGAGTGCAGCTGACCACATTTCAACCTGTATGAGGGAGCTTAACTCATAACTTCATCTGTGACAGTACTGTAGAAAGTTTATTGAAAAATTCCATTATCTTTTCATTCCATTTTTCCAAGAACTTTTTTATGCCCCATCATACTCCATAGATTGGAGTCCTGGTGTGGTGCTGTGGGATTAAGTACTATACTGCAAGATTGGTTTGAGCACAGGGTTGACCGTTCAAACTCCACAGCCACTCCTTGGAAGCCCTATATTGGGTTGCTATGAGTCAGAACCGACTGGACAGCACTTACCAATAACAACAACACTATCCCATGGACTATTTCTCTAAATCTGTTGATTAAAGCTCCAGCTCTAGTTCGCGTGCACGTGTTAGCTTTTACCTTGTTTGTTTTAACTTACATGTTTATATGTTAGCTTGTTGTGACTTGGGGCTCCACCTCTCTGTGGTTTGGGTTCTTCATCTGTTAAGTGGAGGTAACAGTGGTAATAACACATGAAGTTGTTGTAACTGTTAAATGCCTTAATTTATGTGGAGTGCTGAGAGCAATACCAGACATGTAGGAAGACTCCTGAAATGGAAAACATTATTTGTATCAGGAAATGATTCTGAATGCCAGAGCTCTCTCTGTGGCTCTCTGTCTGAATCTTGTCAGTTTACTTTCACTTACTAAATGAAGTTCAGTTATGTCAGCAGGCTAAATTTCTAGAGTT